ATGGTTTGTGTGGTAGTGTTTGGGAGTGTTTGGGGTTTTTATGGTAGTGTTGGGAGTGATGGTATGATGGTAGTTGGGAGTGTTTTAGTGGGTAGTGTGGTAGTGATGGGTGTTGGTGTGTGGTAGTGATGGGTTTTTGGTTTGATGGTAGTGAGGGAGTTGGTAGTGATGGTATGATGGTGTGTTGGTAGTGATGGGAGGATGGTAGTGTGGTTTAAAGATGGTAGTGTTGGAGTGATGGTAGTGATGGTAGTGTGGTAGTGATGGTAGTGATGGGGTGATGGTAGTGTTGGTAGGTTTGGAGTGATGGGATTTAGGGAGTGTTGGTAGTGTGGTAGTGATGGTAGTTGTAGTGATGGTAGTGATGGAGTGTGGTAGTGTTTGGGATGTGGTAGTGATGGTAGTGATGGGAGTGATGGGGGGTTTATGGGTAGTGATGGAGTGTTGGGGATGATGGGAGGATGGTAGTGTTGGTAGGGTTATGTGGTAGTGTTTGGTAGTGATGGTAGTGATGGAGTGTTGGTGTATGGAGTGATGGTAGTGTTGGTTGTGATGGTAGTATGGTAGTGGGTAGTGTGGTAGTGATGGTGTGATGGTAGGTTGTAGTGATGGTAGTGATGGAGTGATGGTAGTGATGGGGAGTGTTGGAGTGATGGTAGTGATGGTAGTGATGGTATGTTGGGAGGTGGTAGGTGGTAGTGATGGTAGGATGGTATGATGTTTGTGATGGTAGTATGGAGTGTGTAGTGGGTAGTGATGGTGGGTTTTGGGAGTGAGGTAGTGAGGTATGATGGTAGTAATGGTAGTGATGTGTGTGGTATGTTGGTAGTGATGGGGTGTGATGGTAGTGTTAGTGTGGTAGTGATGGTATGTTTGGGAGTGTGGTAGTGTTTTTAGTGATGGTAGTGTGGTAGTGTGGGGTGTGTAGTGATGGTAGTGATGGTATGATGGGAGTGATGGTAGTGATGTTTGTGTGGTATGATGGGAATGATTATGTGGTAGGATGGTGTGTTGGAAATGTGGGAGTGTTTGGGAGTGATGGTAGTGATGGTAGTGTGGTAGTGATGGGTTTTGTTTGGATGGGGTGATTTGGTAGTGATGGTGTGATGGAGTGTGGTAGTGATGGAGTGATGGTAGTGATGGTAGTGTGGGGTGATGGAGTGATGGTAGTGTTTGGGAGTGATTGTTTGTGATGGTAGTGATGGTGTGATGGTAGGATGGTGTGATGTAGTGTTGGTAGTGATGGTAGTGATGGTAGTGTTGTGTGTGGAGTGATGGTAGTGATGGTAGTGATGTTAGTGATGGTAGGATGGTAGTGATTGGGGAGTGATGGTATGATGGTAGTGATGGGAGTGATGGTATGATGGGAGGAGGTATGTGGGGGTGATGGTATGTGGAGTGATGGTTGTGAGGTAGGATGGTGTGATGGGAGTGAGGGTGTTTGGGAGTGATGGTGTGATGGTGTGATGGTATGATGGTGTGATGGTATGATGGAGTGATGGTAGGATGGTAGGGGGGTAGTGATGGGAGTGATGGTAGTGATGGTAGTGATGGGTGAGGTGTATGGTAGTGATGGGTTTGTGTTGGGAGTGATGGTGTGATGGTAGTGGGTAGTGTGGTAGTGTGGTTTTTGGATGGTGGTGGGTGGTAGTATGGTAGTGTGGTAGGATGGGAGGATGGTAGTGTTTTGGGAGGTGGTAGTGTGGTATGTGGGAGTGATGGTAGTGTTGGTAGTGTGGTTTGTGATGGTGTGTGGTAGTGATGGGGGTGAGGTATGATGGTAGTGAGGTAGTGATGGTATGATGGTGGTGAGGGGAGTGATGGTTGATGGAGTGATGGTGGGGAGGTGGGTTTTTGGGAGTGAGGTAGTGAGGTGTGATGGTTGATGGTAGTTTAATGGTGGATGTTGTGTGGTAGGTTTTTTTTTGGGAGTTTTTTGATTTTTTTTAAAATTTTTTTTTATTTTTAGTTTTTGGGTTTTGGGGGTTTTTGTTTATTTTTTTTTTTTTTTTTTTTTTTTTTTTTTTTTTTGGTTTTTTTTTTTTTTTTTTTTTTTTTTTTAATTTGGTTTTATTTTTGATTTGTTTGGTTAATTTTTTGATTTATTTTTATTTTTGGGATGAGTATTTTATGATGGATATTTATTATGATGGTAGGTTTTTACTGGGGAATTTTTTCGGGGTGCCGGTTTGCTCAGCTTCTTGCTTCCCCTTTTCCTTAAATTTATTGTTAAAATTTTTTTTCTTGTTCTTGTTCTTGTTCTTGTTCTTACTTCTTCTTCTTCTTTCTTCTTCTTCTTCTTCTTCTTCTTCTTCTTCTTCTTCTTCTTCTTCTTCTTCTTCTTCTTCTTCTTCTTCTCTCTCTCTCACTCTCTCTCTCTCTCTCTCTTCTCTCTCTCTCTCTTCTCTCTCTCTCTCTCTCTCTCTTTTCTCTCTCTCGTAAATGCAGCTCATGTACCATTGCACTCTGATACTATCTATTAACCTGAGCCGTCATTAACACTGTCTAGTAACTCAGGGCAGACATTTGCCCACGAACAGTAGAAGGAGTATCGAGCCTCCAGCAATTCTTGCAGGTAAACATTTACACGGGTTTAGTACTTCATAAAATGAGGTAGTAATAATTTCCTTCCTTCGACACTTCATTGATTTCTAGTTAATAAAGCTACTCCTCCATCTGTAGTTTTCTCCCCTTCTCCTCATCTGATACCCTTTGGGGAATAGTTCATCTGCTTTTTTTTTAATCACTGTTAATCATGGCTCAGAAGCCCTTAACATTAGTAAGGCTACCTCTCTGCCCGTTGCTTCATTTTTTTCCTCCTCATCTGATATCCTCTGGGGAGTATTTCATCTGACTTTTCTTTTCACTGTTAATCGTGGTTTAAAAGCCCATCACATTAACAAGGCTACCTCTCTGTCTGTTTCTTCTTTTTTCTTCTCATCTGATACCCCTTGGGGACTATTTCATCTGTTGTTTGCCACTTTTAATCTTTCTTGACTCAAAAGTCTTCACATTCATCAAGGCGATGCAAGGAGCAGGTTCGGTTCGAGAACTGGGTATGCCATTGTGGTTAAGTTCGAACTATAGCTCCTGGACCTGCCTCTTACTACTGATCTCCTTTACCCTTGAAACTGCATATACTATTTTCATCCATCACATCTGCATGAAATAATTTTTCTATGGTTCATCTGCATTTAAAAATGACTATAAGTGTTACATCACTTTCACGTATCATATATCAGTCAGTCTGTCACTCTAATTGCCTGAGTATTTTGTATGGCACGATCATGTTTCACCTGAAGACATACCCCAGCTATATTAACAAGTCTTTACAAATTGCCAATAACGCGTTTTACACAAACAACCCACACATTGGAGAGAGAAGCTTACGACGACGTTTCGGTCCCAATTGTACCATTTACAAAGTCACACAAACACAAAAGAGCGAGAGAGCTGGTATATATAGGCAATGGAGACTGGGACAGGACAGAGAGAGGAAGAGTAAGTAGTGGTAAGGTTGGTAGTGGTAGTAATGGTAGTAGAAGCAGTAGTATTGAAACTACCACAACTAATGCTTCTTATTCTTCCTCTCTCTGTCCCGTCCCTGTCTCCCTTGCTTATATATACTGACTCCCTCACACTTTTGTGTTTAAAGTTAAGCCAGTGGAAGGCATCGGTCAGATGACCAAACGTTCCAGCTGTGGGTCATCATATGACTAAGACCCACGTCAGGAAACACTTGTCCTTTTTCCTGACGAACTTTACCTAACCTAACCTAATCTTCTATATCAGTGTGACTTTGTAAATGGTCCAAGTCGGACCGAAACGTCGTGGTAAGCTCCTCTCTCCTATGTACGGGTTATTTGCGTGTTTTATCAGCCGTGATACTGTGCCGTTTTATTCTTTATAAACATATTTAATAAAGATATGTTGGTTTTACAGCAACATCAAAACGTTTTTGATGTTTCTTCTCTTCTTAAGAACTTAAAAATCATAGTTGTATTTAAAAATCTTCAAATAATTTTTTTTATGTTTAAGAATTCTGCTAAAATGTTGCTGGCTGTCTGTAAGATTCATTGTACAAACTCAAATTTTGGCATAGCTGGAGGCCTGGTCACAGACCGGGCCGCGGGGGCGTTGACCCCCGGAACTCTCTCCAGGTAAACTCCAGAGCAACATAAATACCCAACTAATTAGCTAAAAAAAACTGAGAAAGTTATTTTCAGGCAAATTTTGATTACATTTTGAATATAAGTCCAGGATTATGTAAACTAGATTCATATTAAAAATTGTTAGAATTATAATCTAAGACTAACTGAAGGTTGTTCCGGGGTCAACCCCCCCACGTGGCCTGGTCTAACCAGCCTCGCAGGAATCGGGCCCTGATAAACCAGGCTGAACTGCGGGCCGCAGTGAAATAACGTAGACCACAGCCCGGCTGATCGTATGACTTTTGGGACTGTCCACTCCATCTTGAAGAAATCACTCTTAAAACCGAAGGTAAATAATGAAGACCAGGTCATGACTATTTTAAACAACCCCCTTTTAAAAAACACAAATTTTAGCTACCTCAAGTTTAAAGAGTAAGACACGTGGGACTGCTGGGTATTTTTTTTTGAAAAGTTTCGTCTGGAAAGTAGGGGTTTTTTCAGTCAAAACGAGGAACGGGAAAAAGAAAAGAACGGTGGCGAGGAAAAAATACGTGATCTGTCCCTTTAACCTTTAAATGGTTTTTGAGGTGAGAAATCACAAAAAACACTTGAAATAGCCCCCGTAAATATAATATAATATATTATAATATATATTATATATAAATAAATATTATAATATAATTTCGGAAATTAGATTTAAGGGGCCCAATGCTTGACGTCAGGGGGACCTTACCTACGTCTCTTCACTTATAGAAAGTGCCCAGAACACCTCCAGCGATGCTCCCAATACTTTTTTCCTCTCCACCCCTCACATTCACCTAGCAAAGAAAAACTGACCAGGTGACCTAGGTGGCGGCCAGGTATAAATGGGAGGACGCTAGGTGCTGAGGGCAGTGTAGTCTCGACAGCTTCGACACAATGAACGCCAAGGTAGGTGACTTCCCCTAGTCAGGTGACATTCTAGGTGAAACCATTTCTTAGGAATCTGTGTGGGATTAGCGCTTTCCCTAGCCTAGAATAGTCACGGCTAGGTGAACTAACCACAACATAAAAAAAAAGAATTTCTAGGGAAAAGCCATTAAAGACTTGAAAAATGGTCCAGGACTTAAATGTCCTCTTGACTGACAGTTCAAATTGCGAGTTAGTCGTGAATTGTTCAATTGAAGGTATTGTGGATTAATTGTGAATTGTTCCAGTGACGGTACTGTGGGTTAGTTTGAATTGTACCAGTGACGGTACTGTGGGTTAGTTGTGAATTGTTCCAGTGACGGTACTGTGGGTTACTTGTGAATTGTTCCAGTGACTGTACTGTGGGTTAGTTGTGAATTGTTCCAGTGACGGTACTGTGTGTTAGTTGTGAATTGTTCTAGTGACGGTACTGCGGGTTAGTTGTGAATTGTTCTAGTGACGGTACTGTGGGTTAGTTGTGAATTGTTCTAGTGACGGTACTGCGGGTTAGTTGTGAATTGTTCTAGTGACGGTACTGTGGGTTAGTTGTGAATTGTTCCAGTGACTGTACTGTGGGTTAGTTGTGAATTGTTCCAGTGACGGTACTGCGGGTTAGTTGTGAATTGTTCTAGTGACTGTACTGTTGGTTAGTTGTGAATTGTTCCAGTGACGGTACTGTGGGTTAGTTGTGAATTGTTCCAGTGACGGTACTGTGGGTTAGTTGTGAATTGTTCCAGTGACGGTACTGTGTGTCACTTGTGAATTGTTCCAGTGACTGTACTGTGGGTTAGTTGTGAATTGTTCCAGTGACGGTACTGCGGGTTAGTTGTGAATTGTTCTAGTGACGGTACTGTGTGTTAGTTGTGAATTGTTCCAGTGACTGTACTGTGGGTTAGTTGTGAATTGTTCTAGTGACTGTACTGTGGGTTAGTTGTGAATTGTTCCAGTGACTGTACTGCGGGTTACTTGTGAATTGTTCCAGTGACGGTACTGCGGGCTACTTGTGAATTGTTCCAGTGACGGTACTGTGGGTTACTTGTGAATTGTTCCAGTGACGGTACTGTAGTATGTTATTTACTTCTAGTGAACCATGATAGTGTGTTAGTGAACCATGATAGTGTGTTAGTGAACCACGGCAGTGCGTTAGTGAACCATGATAGTGTGTTAGTGAACCATGATAGTGTGTTAGTGAACCATTTTAATGTGTTAGTGAACCATTTTAATGTGTTAGTGAACCATTTTAATGTGTTAGTGAGCCATTTTAACGTGTTAGTGAACCATGTTAGCATCTGACGAATATTATTGTATTAACAATGCACAAAATCAAAATTGACTAATAAAACACGTGAAACACTGCGATATCTTTACCGAGCAGACATTTCGCCCGGTCGAGTTCGTTATCTAATTCGAAATGAAGAGACTGTTGGTCTAATAAAGCCAATGGCTTAGCGAAACGTCTTCAGAGTTGAGATACCCAGGTGTTGTACCTGCGTCTTGCTCACCTGGGCAGGTGTTTCCATACAGGTGTTAACTTTCATGTCATTTTCTTACAGATTCTTCTTTTCCTGGGTCTGGTAGCAGTGGTCGCCGCTGACAAGCGCCCCTCCTTCAGCTACGGTCCACCAGCGGTACGTTACACTGCTCTGTTACCCGCAAATTCTGCTTAGATCGGTTTGATTACTGTGTGTGGGTTGTAGACCCATGTAGCTAACTTAAGAGAGAGGCCAGGAGCTGAGACTCAACCCTTGCAATCACAAATAGATGACAGTTATGGGATGAGCGGAAGGAGTAAGAGAAAGGAGGAGAAAAGGATTTTAGGAATAAGGCTGCATCGATTCTTTGTCGATAGGATGGATACCTAACTTAGCGTTTCCTGGTTGAGATTCCCAATTGGAATGATCCATACAGTCAAGAGTACTTACTGCAAGTAAATTTATTTAGGAACAGGTGCACATAAGTATAATTATCATACATAGTGTAAATAACCCCAAAAATATCAGACAAAGTGACTTATTTCCATTGGGGCCCTTGAAGTTTTCATTTTGGTCCTTGTAACTTCCACTGGGGTCCTTGTAATTTTCATTGGGTCCTTGTCATTTCCATTGGAGCGCTTGTAATTTCCACTGGGGTCTTTGTATTTTCCATTGGGTCCTTGTCATTTCCATTGGAGCATTTGTAATTTCCACTGGGGCCCTGTAATTTCCTTGCGGGTTCTTAGAAAGAGTCTTACTGACTAATCTTTTTTATCTTCTGCAGGCACATCCTGACGACTCCGATGAGGTCGTTGAACCACCCAAGTACGGCTACGAGTGGAACGTCCAGGACGGTGAGACTGGCAACGACTTCGCCCACCAGGAGGCTCGTGACCTCGAAAACACCAAGGGATCGTACACCATTCAGCTCCCCGACGGTCGTCGCCAGACTGTGACTTACTACGTGGACGGTGACTCTGGCTTCGTTGCCGATGTCCAGTACTCTGGAGAAGCTCGCTACCCCGACTCCAGTGAGGTCGGCAAGTACCAAGCACCATCTGCACCTAGGCCAGTGTACGGTGCACCTAACTAAGTCACCTGTCTCTCAAAGTCTTCTCTCGGCAGTCTCCAGAATCAATAACCCGCCAACCTGCACTCAGGCTATCTCCGCACCAAACTCAAACATCCCGCCAACATGTGTAACTAACTCAATGCTCTGCCTTACACCAAATTCTCTACCCATATCAAACCCCTTGTTTTTTTCCTATAGTGACTTGTAATCTGTAATCTTGGCGTCAAATTCTATCTTCTATCACACTGATACTATCTTAACTTCAGCCTTCAACTTCTGTGTCGAAGCCACAATGAGCTTCCTGTGTATATAATTTATTGAATAAATCAAATCTCCGAGTTGAAAACATTACTTTCCTGGGGTTGATGGGATGAAAATTGTTTATATCGTCGAATTAACAGCTGTTATTGCACCTCGGCTTATTTATATGACAAGAACTGTTATCATTAACAGGATAATGGTTGCTATCCTGACTCAGCTTATTTACAAGTTAGGAGCTGTTAGCCTACCTCAGCTTATTTATAGGCTAAGGGCTGTTATCCTACAACAGCTTATTTACAAGCTAAGAGCTGCTGTCTTACCTGGGCTCACTGACAGCTTCCTAGCCAATTTTTTAAGTACACCATCTCATTCGTCACCAGGCTGCTTCCTGACACCTAGGTACCTATTTGCCATGTATACACGGGCCGCTTCCTGACACCTAGGTACCTATTTACCATGTAATCGCGGGTAACAGGTATAAGGAAACATACCCAACGTCTCCACGGGATCGAACACGGTTCCTATGGTTGAATGATCAACCTGAAACGTGGCCTAGTTGGCCACAGTCCTTTAAGGTATTGGAACATTCCTTGATGGTATTGGAACAGTCTTTGATGATATTAGAACAATTCTTGATATTGGAATAGTTCTTGATATTGGAACAATCCTTGATGATACTGGAACAATCCTTGACGATATTGGAACAATAGATCGAGATAACAAAGTACAATCGAACTCTGGATAAATTGTAGGATACTAAAGGAAGTGAAATTCAGGATCGGACGGATGCCAGGTTCAGATGGATGCCAGGTTCAGATGGATGCCAGGTTCAGATGGATGCCAGGTTCAGATGGATGCCAGGTTCAGATGGATGCCAGGTTCAGATGGATGCCAGGTTCAGATGGATGCCAGGTTCAGATGGATGCCAGGTTCAGATGGATGCCAGGTTCAGATGGATGCCAGGTAAAGATGGATGTCAGGTTCAGATGGATGCCAGGTTCAGATGGATGCCAGGTTCAGATGGATGCCGGGTTCAAGAAGATGCCAGGTTCAGATAGATGCCGGGTTCAAGAAGATGCCAGGTTCAGATAGATGCCTGGTTCAGATGGATGCCATGTTCAGATTGATGCCAGGTTCAAGAAGATGCCAGGTTCAGATGGATACCAGATTCAAATGGATGCCAGGTTCAGATGGATGCCAGGTTCAGATGGATGCCAGGCTCAGATGGATGCCAGGTTCAGATGGATGTCAGGTTCAGATGGCTGCCAGGTTCAGATTGTTGCCAGGTTCAAATGGATGCCAGGTTCAGATGGATGCCAGGTTCAGATGGATGCCAGGTTCAGATGGATTCCAGGTTCAGATGGATGTCAGGTTCAAATGGATGCCAGGTTCAGATGGATGCCAGGTTCAGATGGATGCCAGGTTCATATGGATGCCAGGTTCAGATGGATGTCAGGTTCAAATGGATGCCAGGTTCAGATTGATGCCAGGTTCAGATGGATGCCAGGTTCAGATGGATGCCAGGTTCAGATGGATACCAGGTTCAAATGGATGCCAGGTTCAGATGGATGCCAGGTTCAGATGGATGCCAGGTTCAGATGGATGCCAGGTTCAGATGGATGCCAGGTTCAGATGGATGCCAACTTCATATGGATGCCAAGTTCAGATGGATGCCAGGTTCAGACGGATGCCAGTTTCGGGTAGATGCCAGGTTCAGATGGATGCCAGGTTCAGACGCATCCCATCTGAACCTGGCATCCATCTGAAGAGAGAATAGAAACTGACGACAACGTTTTGATTTAACTCGTATTAATTAACAGTATATAATCGGGATCTCTCTTAACATGTGGCGTCCAACATGGGTATGTGGTAACTGTCACCCACAGGATGGGTATGTGGTAGCTACCACCCACAGGATGGGTATGTTGCAACTGCCATCCACAGGATGGGTATGTGGTAGCTACCAACCACAGGATGGGTATGTGGCAACTGTCACCCACAGGATGGGTATGTGGTAAGTACGACCCACAGGATGGGTATGTCGTAACCTCCACCCACAGGATGGGTATGTGATAAGTACGACCCACAGGATGGGAATGTGGTCGCTACCAACCACAGGATGGGTGTGTGGTAACTACCACCCACAGGATGGGTATGTGATAACTACCACCCACAGGATGGGTATGTGGTAACTTCCACCCACAGGATGGGTTGTCATGTGGGTTCGATAACGTGGATGGGGTAAAAACACTCACGTAGGCTGGTTAGTACGTATAATTATAACGGAAAGTATAGGAAGCACCATCAGCCGCCCTGCCTCTCTCTGCTCTCAATCTCAGACTGACCCACCAGTGCCTAGGGGGTGAGCGGTGTTTAAAAACATGCTATGGTCAGCATCAACATGAATATCAGTCAGTGATTCACACAGACGGTTGATAGTGAGCCATCTACTGGTAACTGGTTACTGGTAACTGTTACTACTGAGAGCTCGGCGACGCTAACGTATGTCGTCCCGACATACAGCTAATACAAACTAGAGACGGCAGGTGTATGGCTTGGGCTGATTCTATACATTGTCAAAGTACACAACAATTGAACATTATAACATACATAAGTAGAATATTGGAATGGAAGCTAATGTAATTTACTGTAATGAAACTGTAATGAAACTGTAACGCATTACAAGGTATGATATAGCACAACTCATCGAATGAGACTCAACATTGGGATTACACAATAGAAGTGAAAAAAAATATTTTGATCGATCGATCTGTATTCATGTGATCTACGGATTCTGAGGAAGAAATATATACAAAGAAAGAAGTGTTTAATAGAAGCAGATTCGGTGCACTCAAATCTAGACTGTTAAATCTCAGAATTCGGAGAGAACGTGAACACAAAAAAAAAAATTCTTGAATACTGATAAGTTGATACTGTAATTATTCATCTATACAGGTTATTTACATTTAACCCCAACTCTGCTAGGGTGAGATTGACATGCAGAATGGGTGTCATCTCTGGGAGGATCAAACTCTGTTGCACTGGCTAACTCATGCTGTATTTGAGGCAAATCTGAATTGGTAGTTGCAAATGATACTTGAGGATTTCTCAATACCTGTCGTGTACGTAGGGAATAACGACATTCAGGTTGATCGTCTGACTGAGTATCAGAGGTAGAGAGTACAGGATCAGGAGGATTGTCAGAGTCTGTCACATTAGTCTGGGTTGGAACATCATTATCATCACATACTAACTTCATATGATCTAAATGCGATTCTTTATACTGACCAGTACTAATTTCTCTAACCTTATACTTATTACCAGTGATATGTTCAACTACTCGATAAGGAACAACAAACTTTTGATCATGCTTAGGCATTGCAGACGTTTTGTTAAAGTTAGTCAGCATAACTCTCGAACCTACTTTGATTTTGGACGGCTTTGCTCGAGTGTTTGCGACTTTTGTAAGTTCTGCTGTTGATTTATGAAGTGTTTCACCGATTCTTCTAAAGATGCTTTGAGCTAAGCTGGTACAAGTTATTATTAAATCATCAGGGTTGTAATTTGGTTTCGGATTAGAATATAGCAACTCATAAGGCAAACGTTTATCTACACGTACAATGCATAATGTGGGGTGTCACCTATAGAAACATTGTAAGCAGAATTTATAGCACACTGCACATCAGGTATAACTTCATCCCAAGTGTCACTGTTGGGATTGATAGTGGCTCTCAAGACATCAAGTACTTTCTTATTGGTTCGTTCCGCTAACCCATTGCTGGCAGGATGATGAGGAACAATGGTGGATTTAGAGATCTTGTACAAGGTACACAAATTTTCAAGAATTTCATTACAGAATTCACCTCCATTATCTGTTACTAGGGACTTAGGGGTGGTATGCCTGCAGATAATGCGTTCTTTAAACGCTTTAGCTACTGTTTCTGCTCTGCAGTCTTATCTGCAATAGAAACTAACTCACAATATCTGGTGAAATGGTCTACCATAACATACAGATGTTTGTTGCCCTGGAGGGAACATTGGAAATTAGTTAACAAATCTAGCGCAACTCTTTCCCACGGTTCGCTAGTGGTTGGATATACTTGGATTGGATTAGGACCATTAGCATTACCTTTATGTTGCATGCAGACACTACATTTCTTAACATACTCAGAAATATCAGTTGCCATACGAGGCCAAAAGTATTTCAATCTGTCTTGTTTTACTGAACGATCCATACCAGGGTGTGCAACACCTGGTACATCGTGAACTAGCTGTAAGGCTACATTCACTAGTGACTGTGGAATTACTAACTGGTATACCCTTCTTCTAGGAGTACCCAACACGGCTGTTCGATACAGTAATTCTTGGTTCATGACAAAGTCACTGATGGGTGCTGGTGGCTTCACAGTCAGAATAAGATCTTCCTGGAGCAGGAATCGAATCACACCAGACCACATGGGATCTGCTCGTTGAGCATTCTTTACATCCTCGGCAGTAAATGGAGGGTCTGCAGTTACTATACTAACATGTCGCGATAAAGCATCTGCGACTACATTTGACTTGCCAGGTAAATGCTCAAAGGTAGGATTGAACTCTTGGATAGTCAAGGTCCATCTGGCTAACCTTCCAGTAGGTTGTTTGCTCTGGAATAAAGGTATCAGTGGAGCATGACCTGTCAAGACATGAACAGAGTACTGATAAATAATGTCTCGGAAGTGCTTTAAAGACCATACTATTGCTAAAACTTCTTGCTCAGTTACTGTATAATTACGTTCAGCCTTCGTAAGGACTCGGCTAGCAAATGCAACTGCGTTGTACTTGCCATCAGTCTTCTGAGCTAGTACAGCACCTATGCCAATAGAACTAGCATCAGTTGTCAGATAGAAGGGCTTAGAAAAATCTGGGAATTTCAAAATTGGAGCAGATGTTAGCTTTTCTTTTAGAGTTTGGAATGCTCTTTCTTGACGGAAGGTCCAAACAAAAGGAGCATCTTTCTTAAGCAACTCAGTTAGAGGAGCAGCTATGGAAGAAAAATTGGCAATGAAAGATCTATAAAAACCTGCTAAGCCCACAAAGG